GGGTGGGGAACCCTGGTCCATCACACTTGATTTCAATCAGCAGGTGATTAACAGGCTTTAGCAGAGCTTGATGAGCTGCAGATCAGGTGAATCAACCACTGTATCAGAAGTATTGGAGCAAAGACAAGCAGGATACCGGCCCTCGAGGACCAGGGTTCCCCACCCCTGCTCTAGAAGACCCTGTGCATCACTCACCAGAACTCCTGCCCTCTTCCTCCTACGTTTCTACACAGTCGCCCTCGTCATCTCTGGCTAGAGTCAAACAAACGTGTGTAATGACCGTTCTTTACTATGAAAACAGGTAAAAACGTTTGATGTCAGCATTTTCAGAATATGTCTGAAAAAAAAAAAACCTTTAGAAGCGAATTAGAAAAAATGGTGACTTCTAGTTTCGGCTTCTGGTCTGGAGCCTTCTTCGTGGGCTCCAGACCAGAAGAAATCTCATTTGTAATGACTCAGCCGCGGCGCGGTGAACGTCACGTCCATGCTTTCAGCATGGAAGCATTTCACTTTCAGCGCTTTGGGCTTCCTGACAGGGTTGCGGAAGGCGCTTTATAAATAAAGCTTTGATTGATTGATTGATTGATTGATTGATTGCTTTCGAAGTGGGACTTTTGAGCGTTTGATGGATTTACAGATGAAAACGCCTCCACTCCCTCTATTCTCTTTGTGCATTTATGGTCTGGACGGAGAGAAAGGAGAGAATTGTTGTTGGATGGTTCTGCGTGTTATTCCAGCTCGCTCTGTTGAAACGCGCCCCCTCCCAGGTCGAGCTGCACATATCCACAGTGTGTGATTACAGGGTCTTCTCCACCTTTAACTCGGTGAGCGCCGACTTCATTTGTGTTGGATGTGAGATGGAGCTCTCAGGGGTGCAAAGGAATGCTGGGAGAAGAGATGGATATTTTGCTTGAAGGAAACAGAACCTGGTCTCACGCTCCTGCCCTCCAGGGCCATTTTCATTGGGTTGCCAGTCAGAGGGACCACATGCTTCGTACGGAGAGCAAAGTGGTGTGAGAAAGACGTGGAAGGAGACAGAATTTCTCTAAAGAAATAAAGTTTGGGGGAAATTGAGGGAAGGTGTTGGTGAATACGTAAAGAATTTAGAAAAACATCTAAATATTACAGCCGTGAAGGAAAAGTACGTCCAGTTGGGAAATCAACACGACTAGAGAGCGCTTTACTACATCCTGATTATTTAGCCTCTAGTGTGACTCGTAGCCTGTTATTAAAGCTTACCACTAGAAACCGCAGACAACAACTTTTGGAGTCCACAACTGATTAACAGTGATGAGGATCAGCACCTCCAAATCTGAGACCATGGTTCTCGACCGGAAAAGGGTGGCTTGCCAACTCCGGGTCGGGAGAGAGGTCCTACCTCAAGTGGAGGAGTTTAAGTATCTCGGGGTCTTGTTCACAAGTGAGGGTAGGAGGGATCGGGAGATCGACAGGCGGATGGGTTCGGCGGCTGCAGTGATGCGGACGCTGAGCCGATCTGTTGTGGGGAAGAGGGAGCTGAGCCAGAAAGCCAGGCTCTCGATTTACCGGTCGATCTACGTCCCGATCCTCACCTATGGTCATGAGCTTTGGGTAATGACCGAAAGAACGAGATCGCGGATACAAGCGGCCGAAATGAGTTTCCTCCGTAGGGTGGCCGGGCTCAGCCTTAGAGATAGGGTGAGGAGCTCGGACATTCGGGAGGGACTCGGAGTAGAGCCGCTGCTCCTCCGGATCGAAAGGAGTCAGTTGAGGTGGTTTGGGCATCTGGTCAGGATGCCTCCTGGACGCCTCCCCGGGGAGGTGTTTCGGGCATGTCCTGCCGGCAGGAGGCCCCCGGGTCGACCCAGGACACGTTGGAGAGGTTACATCTCCAATCTGGTCCGGGAACGCCTTGGGGTCCTGCCGGAGGAGCTGGTGGAGGTGGCCGGGGAGAGGACGGTCTGGAGCTCCCTAGTTGGGATGCTGCCCCGCGACCTGGACCCGGATAAGCGGAGGAAGACGACGAAAAACAGTGACTGAAATCATCTTGGACATAACTGAACAAAAAAGCAGGTCATGTGTACTACTGGCCGAACCAAGTTCCTCTGCAGGCTGGGCGGAGTCAGCCTGAGAGGCTGGCATAGGAGCTTAAAGAACATCCTCCGTTAGCATGCTCATATTAGCGTTAAACTTGTGATCTGCACATTACCTGGACCAACAGGTGAAGGGTCACCCCCCCGCTGAGGCAACATTTTCAGGCATTGGCCAGCTGGTTAAACGTGCCGACGCCTGTTCTCAAGTGTGTAGGTCAGAGCAGCCACGCTGCCATGTCTGACGCATCGAACAGCAAATGAAACCAATCCCTCGGGGCCTGCTTCTGTAAACTGAGAGAGGATGATTGTGATTGGATGGCCGCCTCGTGTCAGGTGTCCACATCACTTGTGATGAGATGATCATGCACACGTACATCGTGATGTCAATGATTTACCGTAATTTCATCCAACTCTAATTTTATTTTATTTCCTGAGAATCGGTTGAATTTTTCAGGTCTGACCAACGCGAGTGGGATTAAATCTAAGGCGCGACGTGGAAATGACGTTTGGATTGAAGTCATCGTCTGCTGTTTCTTTGCGTCCATGAGAGAAAGCCACAAAGACCTCGAGTTTACTATAAAACAGGATTATGACGCGAGCGTTTGATCACTAAACTCCTAATCCTGCTTGGGGAGAAAACATCCATTTTCCCGACCCCTTCCTGTCGGCTCTGGTTCCTTGATGTGACAAAAGGCGCAGAAACATCAGCTCAGATGCGCCAAAAGGCATCAAAACAAAGTCACAAACGATTTCAAAACAGCTCCAAATTATCTCTGAAAAGCTGTTTGTTGTGGGAAAAGAAGTGATTTTATCCGGAAAAGCAAACATCAGCCAGCATCTCTACCACCTTCGATTACAACAGCGTGTTCTGTCATTTCTGAAGCGTGCACCAGAAGTCAAACAAATACTAAAACTAAAACCTTTGTTTTGTTTTAAGGTACATTCATATGCTTGGGACTTTTATTGTGAAGGACTGCAGGAAGTTGTGCTGCAGAAGGAGCCAAAAGACATGCAGAATTTTAACCCTAACCCTAACCCTCACTTCAGCTAATAAAAACTAAACGGATACGGTTGGATGCTGCAGCCCGAGGTTAGCTTCCGGCTCTGGAAATAACTTCAGATGATCCTGGGAAAGCTGTTCAAGCTTGTGGGTCTTTATGCTCCGCCCATTAAGCCACGCCTCCAGGATAAAGTGGAATGCTAGAAACATCGGATACTGCTAAACAATGGTGAAAACACGACGCCATCTTGGCCTTTAGACTCACTATTGCACCTTGTCTGCATAAAACCTGACAGAAGGCAGGCGTGGAGCCTCCTGGTTTCTGACGGACTCCTTATTCTGGCACCGGTCCTCCCACTAAAAGCCACTGGGAGCAATGGGGAGGACTGGAAACTCTCAGGATAAATGTATGAATAGATAGCATGACAGATAAAGCCCGGCTCTGGCTTCACTTCTGGTTTAGCTGCTGTTAGACAAAAACACGAGCACAAAGAGAGGGACGTGTGCGAGGGGCCAAATCATTAAGAACGGGACGTTCACAGACATTGGTTGAGGTTTTTTCAGGAGTGTACGTGTCACAGGTGATTAAAATTAATCGTCTGACTAAATATTTAAGTTACTGGTTGCCATCCGTAAGAGAATTTCCAACAATAAAGCAAACACGCTCCAAAAAAAGCATCTCAGACCCGATCTTTCATTTATTTCAGAAACATTCTGACATTTCTCTCAAATGCTCTTTTCTCGTGTCCTAGTGGTCCTAATAAACCATGACCATCATCTTCCCTTCAGGCCTCTGAAGACAGGATGAGAGCAGGGATGGACCACTTAAACAATTAAAACATCCTCACCTACATTGGGGGGGGGGGGGGGGGTCTAAACACGGCTGCAGAGATGGAGGTTGCTGCGTTTTCTGTCAGAGGCTTTTATTTTAGAAGGGGTGTTGAGATTTCGTGGGGGCGTTTTTATGTGTAATCTCATTTCATTTAATACCTCTGAGACCGTGTCTCAGAGGCTTTTGGTGGCTGTCACATGATGGTCTTTGCTGTCACGAGGCTGTCTGATGCCAATAATTGGCTTCTCCCACCATGTTCTGCAGCTTTGCTGCCTTTATGCCAAATGCTAAGCCTTTCACCGCAGCCACGTCTCCTTTTTTCAGACACACCAGCTTTTCACAGAGCTGTGGCACTGCTGGAGAGCTTTTTCAGAAAGCCGAGCAATCCCGGGAGGTGGGCAGGTGAATTCAACCTGCAGGTCTCACCAAACATCCAGTCTGAGTGTGAATAAACACTCTGAGAACCCCCAGACCTTAGACCCACCCCGGGCAGCCAGAGAAAGAAGAAAGTTGGCCAAGAAAAGAGTGGAGAAGGCAGGAGAGGAGTTAGGAGCGCCCCCTGTCAGCCAGCCGGCGCTCCTGCAGCCTCCAAGAACATTCCAGAGATCAGGGAAATAAAAGAGCAGAAGAAAGGCTGTTTTTATAAAATCGGAGGTCCAGGAGACGCAGCCAGCACCCCCCCTGGTCCTGCTGCCCTCATGGAGTACAGGGGGGTCTCTGATCCAACCAAACGGATCAAAACAAACGAGACAAGAAGCCAGAGAGGAGAGGACGGAGGAACTGCAGATGTTCCCTCAGACCGACCCAACAAAGGGCTGAAGCTCAGATCCACGCACGGATTCTCCAGATGTTCCTGTGACCTCACAGCACGCCAGCTGTGATGAAATAACCGTTTACAACTAAACAGCTAACGCTTTATCTAGTTAGATTGTAAAATAAAAGTCTTCATCAGCTCCTAGACTCCTGATGCTTTCAAAATAAAAGCACCACAAGATCTGGTTAAAACAACTGCTTTTGGAGATGAAAGCAGGATTATTTCAGCTCTGATCCTCAGATGTGAGGTTTAAGCAGCGCTTGGGCCTCATCGGGCCAGTACCTTGAACATCTGCTTGACCTTCTGCCGGGGCAGGTTCACGTTGAGTTTGTGCAGCAGATGAAGAACCTCGCTTATACTCAAACTGCCGTCGCCGTTCTTATCCGCCTCGGTGAACGTCTGCTTCAGCCACGTGAGCCAAGTTAAGGTCCGTCTCAGTTAGAATTCGGTTTTAGCCAAAACATTTCAGAGCGGAACCAGAACCACACCACTGACTCGGGTAAGGATATTGGTCGCGGGTGCGCTGCCTCTTTGCCAGACTGTCCTCGTCGCTGATGCCGGCCATCAGGTACTTGAGACCGGTGATCCAGGTCCGCGCCTCCTCTCTGGTACCGGACACCAGGTCCAGAGACTCCATGTGCTCACCATAATACAGGCTGAAGCAGCAGTTTGGGTCGAAGCTGCCCTCCGAGTAGCGCTGGAAGATCTCAGACCGTTTCCCCTCACAGACCTCACGGATGGAGTCGATGGAGACTGAGGAAACAGGAAGTGGAACCGGTTAGAGACGAGCAGATGTTCCAACTTTAATCAGGAACATACTTCAGCTGTCAGGTTTTACCTCTGGATCTGTTAGCTAAATATCTGACCAATCACAGGACAGATTTCAGTGACACCTTCAGAGGCTGATCAGAATAAACAGCAGATTAACCTCTGACCCCAACAGCAGACAAACAGCTGACCCTGACAAACAAAGATGGCTCCAGTGCCAACTCCACAGAGAAAAGCCACCGACCAAAAAGCTACGATGCCATCGTCTCTAAAGCGGATTAAAGCAGGAAACGTTTGTCCTGCAGCTTCATGACGACCAGAACGTCCTGAACAGACGACTTACGGGAAAATAAAACACTTCTGCCATCAAACCAAAGTGATGAAGCTGTGGCTTGTTTCCATAGCAACATTAAACATGAAGTTAGATTTTAGTCTATTTAAAACAAAACAGTGTTTTAATAAAGATGAGAGCCCATCAGAACGAAACGTGGACTAAGACAAATGCTAAAGTTTATCTTTAGGTTTATTTTATTCTGAAGGGCTGACAGAGTGAGCTGAAGCTCTGCTGTGGTTCGGTTTGCTGAATTTATTTTGTAGAGTTGTTCACAAAGTCCTCTTCTGGTGAAGCTCTGCAGCGTTTCACATGCGTCTGTCTTCTAACGGGAGCAGGAAACCCAGAGGTACGGGTCCATAAGTACTCAGATTACATGGTCTCTCACACACTTCATTTCAAGCACCCTCTTACACACTTGTGCAGAGCTGGAGGACCCACACACACACTCCACCGGCCTCAAAAACACCCTCTTTTGTTGTGTGAATGGTCCAAGTCTCTTAAGGGTTACACAATCTTCTTCCTGCATTTCCCTGGTAGCCTCCGCTAGCTGTGCGTGCTCATGTTAACACACACACACACACACACACACGGAAGTTTTAGTGGAAACAGTGAAAACTTTGTGCATCCATGTGGCTGCACGGTGGTTCAAAGTTCACGTCCTAACTGGGACCTTTCTGCATGTTCTCCTGGTGCATGCGTGGGTTTCCTCCCACAGACCGACAACATGCATGTTCAGGTTAAGCCGTACGTGGCCTCGGATGTAAGCATCTGCTGCATAAATAAGCCAACACGTCCGGTCTCCCTCTCCGTGCACCTTCTCCCGGTTTTCCTGACATCTTCCTGCTCCAGTCGGAGAAGCAGATCTGTGGCTGCTTTCTGTTCAGAAGGTGAAACGCTGATTTGAAGCTTTAACAGACACATTTCAGTGCTTCAGTGTACCGAGCGAGTTTGTGTGGATCACCTGTGTAAATGAACAGCTGCGGCTTTCAGCGTTTTTCTGATCAAACATTTCTACTGAAGTGGAAAATCAGCTCACGTCTAAAACCCTCAGCAGCGTTGATCTTCTGTCCCTTCCAGGACGAAGCAGTTTGGATTGAGTTGCTGGAGACCGTACTTGAGAACAGGAAGTTTAATATTCTCGGTGGGGTTAGCCCCAGCCCTGACACCCACAGCTGCACGTTGAGGTTCTGCAGCTCGAAGCTCAAAAAGGCAGAACGATGTTCAGACTGGAGAACGCTCCTCTTTTCAGGTCATTCAGCCCAGAGCGCTTCTGTCCCGGCTGGGGAAGGTAAAGTCTGGACCTCCATGAAGACCTCACACCGATAGGCCTCTCTGCTTTTCTTCTGCCCTCTATTCTTCATTATCTAATTCAAGTGTCAATTTTCAGCCGGCGCCTGCGCCGACCCTTTCTTCTTCTATTGTCTCCTCTCGGCGGGGCAGGATGCCTCCTACTTAATCGTTGATCCAATTAATTTGGGGAACCTTTCTCTGCTCCTTTACAAGACTGATGGCCGGTGAATAAAAACGAGCAACAAAGGGAGTAAACGAACACAGGGCAGTGTCGGTGATTGACACCGGTGCCAACGTGCCTGTGTGTCGCCTTTATATCGGGTGGAGTTATGGAGCCTCCACAGAGAAAGGTGGCCTCGCTGGAGGAGATGAACATGTCTAATTAACTTGTGTCAAATGAAAGTCTCAAGTGTCTCCACCACCCTGCAGGTTTTTATGGTCTTTGCCTCCTGGTAGGGCTTTTCTAGAGGCGATGCTTATTAAACTGATGTCATTTTGTTTTGCTGTCTGCACCTGGCGTCTCTATGCAGCATTATAGAGGAGCACAGGGCTGAGCTACAGTAGCGCGCTGTTGGAGCTGGGGTTCATCTCGGCTCGACTCTTTGGTGAGTTGTTGGAAATAAGAAGCTAAAACCTGTAATGTGTGATCAGCCTTTACTTAGCTGCCAGTGAAGTTTTACAGCTGATCTGAGGAGAGATGGAGCATCAGAACGAGTAAAAAACCACGTTAGACCCCAGAAACGAAGATCCAGACTCAATTATAATCTAGGTCACGTCCCCCAGTTCATTTAAGGGATTAACCGAGTGCGTCTGCTTTAATAAATGATGTCTGACACGAATAAATCATCAGCTTCAGTGGTGATTCTCTTAACCCGTCACACGCGTCAGAACAGAGAAGAATCTGACGGTTCATTTCTAATCCTTACATTCCTTAAAGCAGCACTTTCTGATCGAGTATTTAGGCTACTTTTCCATCAGTTCTGTGTTGACAGTACGACTCCTACCTGCAGGTGGCATCACTGAAAGGGGGTGGAGTCTCTGGAAACAGGATGGCTAGCAGGATTGCTAACAAAATGGTGAAAGTCCCACGGATGCAGTAAAACTTAACGACCGCTTTTTAGACCTCTCTGATTTATTGCGAGACTGGTTCGTTTATATCGTCTGAATTGGGACGCTGCTGTACGTGTTGCACGCCGCTACACCCCCATTCTCCAAACTGAGGTCACTGACTGCCGTCTTGATCAAACAGCACAATGCCACAGATGCTGCAACCTTTGAGGGAACGAGCAACTGGCATGCTGACTGCAGGAACGTCTACCAGAGCTTCTTCCCGTGAAATTAATGTTAATTTCTCTACCATAAGCCGTCTCCAAATGCGTTTCAGATACTAGGGTAGTACATCCAACCGGCCTCACAACCACAGACCACGTGTGACCACATCGGCCCAGGACCTTGACATCCAGGATGGCCCGAGACCAGCCGCCAGGATAGCTACAGCAACAATCGGTTTTCATAACCAGAGAAACTCATCTGCATGCTCGTTGTCCTCATCACGGTCTGGACCTGACTGCAGTCCGTCGTCGTAACAGAATTCGCACAGCTATTGAAGAGAAGTGGACCAACATTGCAAAGGCCACAGTCAACAACTTGATCAACTCTATGCCACAGAGATGTGTTGACCTGCGTGAGGCGAATGGTGGCCACACCAGATGCTGACTGGTTTTCTGTCCCACCACCCCATAAACCAAAACTGTGCACATGTCAGGGTGTCCTTTTATTGTGGGCAGTCTAAGGTACACTTGTACATTATTCATGCTGTCATCAGCCCCTTGGTGTGCCACACCTGTGAGGCGTGCTCACTAACACACATGTAGACAGCTTTCAGAACCTTATGTGAGAATCATTTTCAGATGTTTGAGTTCAGCCCATGAAAAATGTCCAGTGTATTAAAAGTAAAAAAATAAAAACAAAAATTTAAACAAGTGGCAGATCTCCTCAGAACCAGACTATACTGACCAAAATACAAGAGCAAACTGGATTTTATTTTAAAGATTAAACCGACTAAACCCAACCTAATTAATTACCTATTTGTTTTTTAAGACATTACTTTAAGGCTTAGGCGTTTAGCAGAAACTGGAGGGATCATGCACAAACTAAACAGAAAAGGTCCGAGAATAAACCCTTGTAGTACTGCGTAAGACGTGTTTACTTTGATTTGTTAACAAATGACACAGCAGCAGTTCAACATTAGAGTCAGGTCAAGATGCCGAAGAAGCAGCTGCACTGAGGTCAAGAAAAGCAGAAAAGAGGTTTTAGGAGGATGACTGATAACTCTGACCTAAGCTGCTTTAGCCGTGTGACCGGCCTAAATCTCCTAAATAAATAAATAAATAAATAAAGCTGCCTTGCACTTAAAAAAAAACAAGTAAACATAAAAACAAAGGTTTGGTAATACAAGTATTTTTAATCATTTCTCATAGTTTAATTGTACCGAGTCTCCTGATTGTGGGGTGAGAATGTCATCCAACGAGTCGGCGGGTTTGACGACATCCTTCATTTTCTATCCCCGGGGAGTCACGAGACGACAACGATGACCTAAACCATTAACACGACCATAAATGATCCTTTGCATCAAACCGCAGGAGGCTCCAGTTGATTTGATCTGGGACATAATGAGCATCTTTCCTACCAAGTCCATTTACTGGTTTCCAGTTTGGCATGAGGAATGTTTACTGGTCATGGGGGCGGGGATTCTCATCCAGCTCCACCCACCTGAGCGGGCATTCAGGTGCTGCTCAACAAATCAGAAAACAGTTTCTTCTAAATGAATCCCGACTACTGGGGTCAAAGGTTATGAAATACTAACCAGTGAAGGTCAGTCTGGCAGCAGCCAGCACAAACGTTCATCCTGTCATCTTCAAACGACTCCAGTCTACAGTTCAGTGGTTCATGTTTTATCGTGACTGGTTGTAGAAGACGCTATACAAAAACAGGTTATTTACATTTACCATTTAACTGGTTAGCAGCTAAACTGAGCTAACCAGGACTAGCAAGGCGGCTCATTTTTATAACCTCTTGATAAACTGGGTCCAAATGGACAGATTTTTTATACCAAAAGCTCTTATTTAGGCATTTAAAACCTACCTCCACCAGGCGAACAGGTGTTTGGTTTGTGAGCTCAATGGGCTAACTCGGCTAACTAGCACAGCTAACTCAGCAAGCAAAGCTAACTGAGCTAGCGGCTAACTTAAGTGATAAAGACCTACTTCGACCTGGAGCCCTGAAGTTTTGTCCCTCGTGGATGATCCCGGTGTCGGTACTGTGGCAGAACCCCTCATGTTGGATTTACGTGCGTTTCAAG